AAAAAAAATAAAGTAAAACCTGTGATGAATCAAGGATTAATTGAACCCGTAACATCTTTTTTCTGGGAAATGTTATTGGCTGAATACGTAGGATTATTAAAAAAATCTTTAATTTGTCTTCTCTACTAGGATATATATTTTATTTATTATATTCTATAAAATCTTTAGCTTGCTAGGCTCCATTCCTATGGAACAAAAACCTACAGAAGATATTTTAAAAGAATAGGTAAAACATTAGAGCGTATAGATTGAATTTATTTTCTAGTGATAGGTAAATTATTATCATTAAATCATAATTCATAAGAATTACTTGTACTACCACAATAAATAATATTACTAAAAGTAATGTTCTAAATATATAATATAGCTATTAGAATTATTATTATATTATAAACAATTAAAATTATTGTGCTTAGCGATTGTTTTTAGTTGGTCCTGCTGCTGCTGCTGCGAAGCAGCAGCAGCGCGAAGCCTAAGTATTTTTTTATAATTAGGCAAAGGGAAGTAAAAACTAAGAAGTGCTGCTGCTGCTGCGTGCGAAGCAGCAGCAGCAGCAGCAGCAAGACATTTTTCATATAAAGCTTTTAATTAGAAAAGAGCGAAAATTGTCTATACAAGAGTACTTGGATTCGAACCAAGAATTTGAAGGTTGAAGCTTCCTATTTTGCCATTAAACTACACTCTTTTATAGTATAAGATTTAGTTTATTTCAGAGAATATCCGATTCGAACGGATGTAGCTATTTCTAACCTAGTAAAACTCAAACTTACCGCCTTAAACCACTCGGCCAATTCTCTCTATATAATATATTATTGATTCATTATTTCTGTAATTCCTCAGTGGCTCGAACACTGATAATATCCTTATCAAGAATACACTTTACCGGTTAAGTTAAGGAATTTTGTAGCCTGGCGAAGCATGGCTCGTAATAAAAATTAATATCATTATTATTTTTATTAATATTAATTTTAGATATTTCTGTGTATTGGACAGACAGGGTACTTAAATTAACTTATCTGTCATATTTAGTAGCTAGCTAGCTTGCTATTTTTTTTTGCAAAAAAATAGCAAGCTACAAAAAAAAGACAAAAATATTTATCTAATGATTTAAAGTAAATAACACATCAGAAGATCTTAGATTGATATATAAGTCAGATAACTTATCAATTTTTTATGGACAATATTTAATATCAGTAGAGTAAAATTTAATCTTGTTTACTCGGTAGTTTAGTTATTCAAAAATTTTTTGTTATCATGTATTATATTATTATTAATTTACTATAGGATTATATTGGAAATTATAAAAATATAACTTATTTCCTAGGAGATAAGAGACTTGAACTCTTAACTTGCTGCGTGTAAAACAGTCACTCTACCATTGAGTTAATCTCCTTTTTTTGTAGCTAGCGCTGCTGCTGCTGCTGCTGCTGCTGCTGCTGCTGCTGCTGCTTCGCACGCACGCACGCACGCACGCACGCACGCACG